CTCTGCATGATGTCAATTACAAAGGAGTGTTCTACATTAGCTGATACTAGAACAGCTATATCTGCAGCTGAACCTTCAGAGGTCATGTATTGCAGGAAATCTAGTTGTCAGGTTTCAATAAGGAAGAACCCCGTGCATGTTCATCTATGCTCTCCTTTTTTTCCTCTTCTTTTTACCCTCAACCCCAACAGGACCTGGTAGATGGCCACTCCTGACTACAGAATCAGAATCAGAGAGACTTTATTTATCCCCAAGGGGCAATTAAGATACAGAGCAGCATGACGTTAAAAATAAGGACAGGGCATAAACAGGCAATAAGAATGATATAAAAAAATGCTTAGTATACAGTATACACAGTTTTAAAATTAAAGTGACTGAATAAGTGAATAAATAACTGTAAGTGACTAAAACTGAATAAAGTGTCGGCAGTGTAAAAAAAGAGTGTAGAGTAGTTTATGGGCGTAGGATATGGTCTTATTGGCTGGAGTTAAAAAGCAGAGTGGCTTTGGGGACAAAGGTGGCGCTCCTCCTCTCAGTCCTGCAGGAAGTGCAGCGGACGCGCAGCAGGGAGCCATTGAAATGCGGGACGAAGAATACGAGAGGGGTCATTGATAATTTTGGCTGCCTGTCTAAGGACCTGTTGGCTGAAAACCTGTGCAAGAGTTCTGACAGGCAGGCCAATGATTTTTGAGCACACTCATGCAGTGTCCTGCAGTCTGCTCCTGTTCTGAAGGCTGAGGGAGTGGAACCAGCAGGTAATGGAGACGGTCATGATGCTTTCCAGGAATACATAGTTAAAAAGTCATCATGATGGGTGTGCTGACTCCAAAGGAGCTGTTTCCTAAGGAGGTATAGCCGTTGGTGGCACCTCCTGAGAATCTCCTCTGTGTTAGCAGAGAATTTCAGGAGGTTGTCAAACCTCCTGAAATTCTTGTTCTTCTTGTTGCTCAGTGTCCAGTCTCACCGGTAACTCGCTATAAGCCTTTTCCTCTGAGACTTCTCTATGCTGTACACTTCTAAGCATAAAGATGAAATTCAACATCCAACAGCTAATACACCATCTTTCATTAATAGTTTGATATTCATGGTTACCCGTCTCACACAGTGCTTAAAGTGCTTCTTTTTTTAGATGTAGTAGAGCCTCATGCTGTTGGTAGACAGCTGGACCACTTGTAGCATCCCCGGTTGAAAAGATGGTCTCTCAAACTGATGGTTCACAATCTTTTTATTAAACCGCCGTGTATGTGAACACACCGTAAGAGCTACAACACACAGAATAAAAGACTATTAGTAAATCAAACAGTGTGTTACCTTTAACCTTTTGACTTATTCATTAATCACAAATTAATTCTCTTTACCTTATATAACAAATAACACTAAAACTTGTAAATTATTGCAAATAACAGGAAAATCGTTGCATCGCTGCCTAAACATGATGAGGTACGTTAGCACCTTCTAGTGAGTGAAAACTTAGCCTTTATGCTTAGTAGCGGTCAGCAGCTATATGCTCCGTAAAACAACAGAATATTTATCTACAGGACAAACTTTGTTACAAACCTTGTTCCCTCATCAACCAGGTGCTAAGAAACTGCTTTCAACTCAGTGTTGCACCTTAATAGCCGTTCTTTTCCCCATTCCTGTCCATTAACCATAGAGCACACCTTCTCTCTGTGCATTAAAACTCGCGCTTCTGCTTTATGGTTTGCGCCACTTGATTTACGGCACCTTGTCGCTCTGTGACTTTCAAAATAAAAGCACCCGCTCCAACAACCTACAGACGGCTCCTAACTTTAACCTGCTGTGCTCTTGCTGTTACTCTGAAAGTCGCAAACGTAGAAATTGTTTGTCTTTGTGCCAGCTGAGCATCCGTTTGGACCAGACAGTGGCTGAGCTGAAAAAGCAG